ATCTCCCAGGCAGTATGCAATTTCCTAGCCCTCAGTAAAATCCAAGAGAAAATGTAATACAACGAGTGAAGTCTCCAAAGCCTTTCTCAGCTCTGGAGAAAGCAGGGGCATTTAAAGGAATGCTATGATGAAATGCTTGAAGATTCTTCTACTGTAAGGTCCTTTCCCCTCTGACACTGACCCCATGTTATTTTACTGCTGACCCCATGTTATTTTACTACCTTCGTGATATTTTATAAACATCCTCATGGCTGCACCCTAGAGTTGTAATGGATGAAGGGAGAGACATGTGAAAAGACCGTCTGACCGATGCAAGGAAATTGGTACTTCCCTCCCGCCCTTTTTGCTCCTTCCACAATATGGTGGGTGGAGATACTAACTTTCTGGGTGTTCCTGAAGTACTCAGGGCAGGAGGAATATAAACCAAGGAACCTTTGACTTCAGGTGGCAGTGGAACAATTCAAGAAAAGTGAGATGAGGTGAAGCAGAGGCCCTCCAAAGAGAAGTTCTCTTCTTTGCTACTGTCCTTTTGAAGTATTTTGACTGGAGCAGGAGCGGAACTGAAAATTAAGCTTTCCAAAGCTTTTGATGTCATAAGAATAAGTGGGGGCACTGATCTGAAATCAATGGTGGCCCACATGTGGAAGGAACTGAAAAAAAAGCTGAGAATGTTGTAGAAAAACAGATGCCTTTTTTCGATGGAAGAACAGATTTCAGTTCAGAATTAGTATAAAGTTTTCCCCTTTCAGACCAATGTTAGAATCTTTTCTGCAGCAAATGTGAATTTTGAAGAAATTTGAGTTGCTAGATGCTGAGGTGGTCTTATGGCTATTGATACTAAGCCACAAACCCGCCTCTCCTCTATGTTCCCCTACTTATTGTAATAAATGTATATATATATAGTAATTGTCATTAAATTAGGACAACCATTTGATTAAATGTTTGATTGAATTTGGCTTCTAATCAGTTTTTTTTATTCATTAAAGAATAAAATCAATGAAAGAAACAAAATACGAGAGATTGATTTATTTGTTTCTTAAGCTTACAGGAAGATTTTATTTATTCTGCATGTACTTTTTAAACCTTTGATCAATGCTTAGCTTGAAAGATGGGAATATTAATGATTTTCAGTTCTGTTTCACATATATTATCTCTTCTTTGGTAACATTCAGGCAAAAGCTTTAACCTGAATGTCATGGGCTTTAGATACAGAATAGCTATAATTGGCATTTAGGAAACAAACACAAGGGATCTGATCCCAAAGTCTTGAGGGGTCTTGATGTAAAATGTGTAACTGTTTTCAGTGGAATCATCAGAATTCATGCTTTTCCTTGAAATGAAGGTAAAATAAACTCCAGGGCTGATTTAATTCCACATTGCAAAACCTCTGTCAGGACAAGGGCAATTCCACATTACAAAACCTCTGTCAGGACAAGTATTCCTGCAATATAGATCTGGATCTATTTTCTGGATCCAGCTAATTCAATTATCCAATTGTCAATTACGGTATCAATTAGTGATTACTATAGTTTCATTCTTTTTGGCATTGGAATCATGGGTGCATCGAGAATCAAGATAGTGATCATGATGGTGCAATCAAAACTCTGTGATCTAAAAGAAATGGCTGGAGTTTCAAGCATACCATTGTGGCTATCATCTTGATGTTTTACCATACACCCAGAGTGTACCCCACTTCTCAACAGTGAGAATTTTGTGAGTGACCAGTATTTAATCGATGTTGGTTTCCATAGAAGTAAGTCACTAAAACTTATGAAACAGGATTTATTTGTGCATATATACAGTCTGGGAATATGATATGGGTTCTATTGGATATATATATTCCACCAATGCGTCAGATACATGTGAAAAATACCATCAAACTCTGTTTTGCATGACAGCCAACCAGCTGCCAATAAGATAGAGAAGGGGTCTTCAAACTTGGCCTTTTATGACTTGTGGACTTCAGCTCCCAGAATTCCTCAGCCAGGCATGCTGGCTAAGGAATTCTGGGAGTTGAAGTCCATAAGTCATAAAAGGGCCAAGTTTGAAGACCCCTGAGCTAAAGAGACAGAGACAGAAACCCATATGACTATTTTAATTTCGAAGTCTATATTTTTGTTAGTCACAATAGTACATAAGCTTTTAGTGAATAACGGCATTCTTGTAGAGATCCTTTTCTGAAGTCTTTCTAATATATTAATTTTATTTATATTTTCATTCTTTAAAAACATTTCCAACTTAGATGTTTCTTGTTCTTTACACATGCATAGCACTTATCCAACATTTTTCTCAAAAAAAAAAAGCTTAGTGTTGTCAAGTCTAGGGTGAGTAACCAAGAAATTCTAGAACTGAAGGCTAATCTGGGATACCAAAGCCATATGCTAGAAGCTGCTGACAAAGCACTGGGGAATTGTAGCCAAGAAACCTACATGGACATGTCCAAGTAGTCACCAGGATGTGAGCTCCACTTATAGTAAGTTCCTTTGCAGTAAAAATAGATGCACCAACATTCCGCCCTCCTTTGCAGGTAAGATCACCATTGCAATTCATTGTTCTTGCTTCAACATTTAAGCTTTGGAACATCAGTTATCTCTGAACCACCCTTCACAAGAAGCAAGTATCTTAAAGGAGATGCCCATAATCAGTAGCAAATTTATATAAAACTGGGAGAGGAAAGTGACTCTAAAACAGCGAAATAAAATATCTGTGCATACCATAGTCGGCAATTGTTGGACAAATGATCATGGTTGCAACTGCATGAGTATAACAAAATGCTGGTTCCATTTTTATATATTTTTGTAATAAATGTGTATAATGTTATAAACCAGAGCTTACGCCATCTTTATCAAATACCACATATTTATTTAGATTTCCAAGCAAATATTAAATGTAAATACAATTTGAGCATCATTTTAGGACCATCAATACGTAAGTTTACATGCTGGTAATCCTTGACTTACAAGCGCTACAAGCACAATTGGGACCAGCATTTCCATTGTTAAGTAAGGCAGTTAAGTGACTCAGGCCGATTATGACTTTCGGCCATAAAGCTAACCTTTCTTGTAGGATTGTTGCATAGTTAAAATGGAGCCAGAGGTTGTTATCCCTTGGTCTAGACCAGGGATAGGCAACCTCGGCTCTTTTATGACTCATGGACTTTAACTCCCAGAATTCCTGAGTCACCATAGCTGACTCAGGAATTCTGGGAGTTGAAGTCCATGAGTCATAAAAGAGCTGAGATTGTCTGCAACCTTGACAACTTTAAGGCTTCTGGACTTCAGCTCCCAGAATTCATCAGCTGGCTGAGGAATTCTGGGAGCTGAAGTCCACAAGTCTTAAAGTTGTCAAGGTTGCAGACCCCTGGTCTAGGGCATCCTTGTGGCTTTTTGTCCATACACATGTTGTTCTGCATAAGGACGCTCAGAGTGACAGTAATCATACCAGACACTGTATGGCTGGAAAACTATCAGTCTCTTGAAAGCAGCGTTCTAATGAGAACATGCTTAAATGATGCTAAATTATTGAGGCGATTAACTGAGAATAGGCACATATTTTAGACGATGTTTTGAAATAAACAGCAACGTCCGAAGGAAACAAAGGTTGATTTTTGAAACGCAATAGAAGATGACAGGAGCTGAGAAGGAACGTAGCCGCCGCTAGGCTTTATTCAAAACAAAGTCAGCGAAGAATGGGCTATATAGAAAACCCGGAATCGATTCTACAGGAAATTGGAGTGCGCCTAAGAAAAGGAAAGAAAACGCCTTAAATATTTTTAGTAGTAGTAGTAGTAGTAGTAGTAGTAGTAGTAGTAGTAGTAGTAGTAGCAGCAGTAGTAGTAGTAGTAATAACAATAACAAAATAATAATAATAATAATAATAATAATAATAATAATAATAATAATAATAATAATAATAATAATAATAATAATAATAATAATAATAATAATAAAGTTGGAAGGGACTTCTACACATAAATGTTATTTAGTAATGAATCATATGCAATGCAACATTAATCTTGAGCCACTTCCGCCCATGGAGCTAGCATAATAAAGAATATTATGTTGCAGCATGCGCTTGTTTCCAGATTCGGTACACGAAGAAGCCCAAACCTTATTTCGATTAGGGTTAAAATGCACCACGTATTTCCCATCCTTTTCCCAATCTCTTCTATGTACTGCTATTGGCAAAAGAGTGATCGGGTGGTCCAATCAGGGATGGAAACGCTTAGAAAAGGGCGGGAATTTGTGTTTGTAGGTTGATATTCCCCGCCTTCTTTGCACTGCTTTTTTCCCCGATTGGTCCGACTAAGCAGTCTGTGTACACATTCAAGCCAATAAGGCATTGCAGATTGTCCTCTCCTTCCTCCAAGCACTTCGATTTTCCCCTCCCTGCGCCGTATGGTAAGAGTTTAGCAGAGGCGGTGTTTCGGGTAGGAAAGTTTTTATTTAAATACCGTTTGACATTTTTCCTGTAATATGTGGCTGGGTGGCCGCTACAGAAGTGAGGCTTCTAGTAGGTTAAAATTAAATGTGGAATAATATTATTGCAAAGAAGAGATTCTTTGGAGATCTTACTTGCTGACTCCGATCGCCTAATTTCAGATGTTTTGGAGTGACTGATTCTGCTTTCTTTGGGGAATTGAGAGAAATTGCTTTTTGCACAGGGTCAGAGGAATAGATTTTTTTAAAAATTGCTTTTGCACATTCTGAGCTTAATCTTACTGGAGACATAGGTCTCCCCCCCCCCCCCGTTTAATGTTACATTTTACACTTTTTTTTGAGGATAGTACACAAAATTTGCAACATTTTTCATTTTAGTGTTATTTAGACCAGTATTTTTCAACTCTTTGACAACTCTTAAAAGAATTCCCCAGCCAGCTAGAGAATGGCATTTAAATGTCTTACAGCTGGATAGGAACATTCTCAAATTCAGTGTTTTTTTTCAAACTTGGCAGCTTCAAGAAGATGGTCATGCTGCCTGGGGGAATTCTAGGAGTTGAAGTCCACAGCATGCTCAGAGTTTTATCTTACTCTTGCTAGATCCTTCAACACTGGGCTTTGATCCTGAAATTATTTTCCGCGGCAGGATCTTCTGGATTGCACCTACGTAGGTAAGAGAATCCTGAGTGTGATTAAGAGTGATGTTAAGAGCAGCATTGGGTGGTATTCAAGACACTGAGAAAATTGTTCTTCTGTGCTCATTCAAGTCTAAAGAATTTGAAGATGAATGAATCTGAAATTAAGATCTTCCTTTATTAAAATGTGCTCACAGATTGCTGTAGCTTCAGGTGTCCACAGATGAGTTCTGCCTACTTTTTGCCATATGGCAGTCAGTATGTAGAAAAGTAGTTAATTTTAATTGTTTAGACCCAGTTTCTGGACTCTGATCCTGGAAGTCATTTGGTGATTGCACTTTGGGCCAACCTTTCTCTCTTAGCTCAGTGTTTCTCAGCTTCAGCAACTTTAAGATGTGTGGACTTCAACTCTCAGAATTCCCCAGCCAGTTTGAGAATAACTTCTAAATGTCTTCCAGCTGGATAGGAACATGCTCAAATTCAGTGTTTTTCCAGCTTGACAGTTTCAAGATGGTCATGCTAGCTGAGGAATTCTGAAAGTTGAAGTTAGCACTCAGCAACTTTATTTAGTTAGTTCCAGTTCAGAAACTTATGCAGTTATAGGGAAATATGGCTGTTTTAACCAATGAACTATAGCGAAACAAACTAGAGCTGGAAACAGTGGTTTGATTTTGCCTTACTTTGGTAAACCATAGTTGAAACAGTTTATCCTTGTCAAACTAACAATTATGAGTAGTTTGGATTTGAAAGAAGATGCTTTTAGTTTCCTCCTCTGGAATGGTCTTCAAGACTAGAAGAAGTTGTGCTATGTCTGAAGCTTGAACAGGCTTGTTCACATTGTGCTAAGCTGAAGTTTAATGTTAAACTAAACCAGGAGGATGATTGCTCTATTAAATGTGTGAGCTGTAGCATCACTTCAAACTGTTCTAAGCAAAATAACAATTGATGTCTTGATTCTGCTGGTTCCCTTGCTGATTCATGTTTTGTTTCTTTAATAAACCACATACATTTGCATTGTGTTTTCAAACAAAGTGATGGCAGCTGGAACAGCCTTGATTTATGATGGTGAAATGATCAATCATAAGCTACTATGGGAAGAGTAAGTACATCTCTTTTTTTTTGGTTGTTTCATTTAAGAAACCTCTACTTTGCAATAAAAGGGAATTACAGATACAGGTTGTCCTTGAGTTACAACAGTAATTTGGACCAGGAATGCCTGGGTGGGGGAAGGCCTGGCACAGGCTGTGCAGGAGTTGGAGGAAGAGGGTGCAGTGGATGCAGGTGTGTGTGTGAATGCAGCAAGGCCCAGGGAAGGAAGGCATAGCAGAGTGTGCAAGAAGAAGTGGGGGGAGAGGGATTCCAACTTTATACTGTTATATATAAATTGAAAAAGTTTTGGCAGACATTGGAGATTCTGTTATAATATCCTAACCACATTAAGATACATTCCAAGATTCCTAGCAATTTCTGTTTCCTGATTTTGACAGACTAACACAATCTTGAAAACCTGTCGGAGACCCTCTCTACTTCAATTTATACCTAGCCCAATTAATATGAAATTGTTTAGTGTTTCTCAGACTTTCTACTTTCCCAACATTTATGTATTTGCTGCAGTTACATAAACATAGAGAAAAGAATCGAACCTTTTGCATTTTTTAAAGGATTTTTAGATAAAATAATTGGAGCAAGTAGAATTTATGCTACTTTTGTTGGTAAAGTGTATGTGGTGATTTGAACACAGCCTATTTCATCTGCATTTAAATAAGATGCCCTGAGAAGCATTGATTGCCTGTCCTTGACAAAAAAAAAATCCTTAACTTGGGCTACAAGGACCCAGTCATGGTTTTACTTGGCAGGAATACAGAAGTGACTTGTCACTGCCTCCTCCTGAGTTCTTTTTTTGACATCTCAGTCTAGCTTACGATTTCCTGGTGGATGTCCTATCCCAGTGATGGCGAACCTTTTAGAGACCGAGTGCCCAAACCGCAACCCAAAACCGCAAAGTGCCAGGGCCACATCAGCATTGTAGTGCCCTCGGGGAGGCAGCGGGGGGGGGCATGGCCCACTGGGTGGGTGGTGGCTGCGGTGGTCACGGCAGACTGGGTGGGCATGGCCAGAGTGGATGTAGCCACCTCGATGTTGCTCATGGGGGGGACACCTGGGGGGCCAGGTAGGGTTGGGGGAGATCCAGGGGGTCTGCGGTGGGTGGGGTGGTGGGCAGGAGGCTTTTCCTGCAGGGTGAGGCGGGGTAGGGCGGAGGTGCCATTGCTGCAGGGCAAGGCAAGGCGAGGCAGGGGCGGCTGCTGCCTGACACCATCGACCCCCACACAGAGAGGCCAGCGAGCGCATGGGGGCGTGCTCTACCACCTCTACTCGAGCTTGCTAGCCGACCACTTTGCCTCCTTTGTGCTGGGCGGGGCTGTTGATCCGGGCACCAGTGGCGGCCTAATGGACCTGCGTGAGATGCTGGCGGCGGTGGCGGGCGTGCCCAAAGAGAGGGCTCTGAGTGCCGCTTCTGCACGCATGCCATAGGTTCGCCATCACTGTCCTATCCAAATACAAACTAGATCATATTTCTTTCCTTAGCCTTGTAAATATCACTTTCTGCAGTAACATGGTTGGGGAAAGTTGAAGAATACCTAAGCTGAGGTCCTGCCACTCAGGTTTCTTCTGGGCGAGGGACACAATGATACCTTTTCTGCTGTTAGACAAAGAATAATGGTTGACTCTGTGAGACAGAACTTAGACAGTTCCGAGATTTTTTCTCCAATAATAAGTTTTAGGCACATTGATCAGTTAGCTATCAATTCCAGAGTTCCAGACTATTGGTGCATCTCACCGTGGTCCCCACAGTTGTGTTCCAGGAAAGATTTAATAACATACCTGTGGTTCTGAGGAAATGGAGACTTTCTCACCAGTGGTGGGATTCAAATATGTGAACAACCGGTTCTCTGTGTGGATGCTGCTTCCGGAAGTCCATTATGGGCCTGGGCAACAAAAAATTAGCTACCAGTTCTGCCGAAGTGGTGCAAATTGGCTGAATCCCACCACTGTTTTCTTACATTTTTTTTAATTTATGCCAGGATCTAAAGACTGAAATTCTTTTTATAAATAGACTCGGTGAATGAGATCTCTCTTCCTCGATTCTTCTGCTAGCTACGGTAATAAAGATTAGATCAAAGGGCAATATGGGAACATTATTAATTGATTATAATCTGCTTTTGTTTTATTGCTGATTGGTGTGGTTTCATGATTTATGTTTATTGCACCATCATAAAATTTTATTTGTTCAGCAACTATTGATAAGGTTTTCTCGTACTCTGTTTATGATGCATGTCGTTGATGTACACACTCCTAATAAATAAGCTTGTTCATTTTATGCTGGTTTTTGCTTCTCATCAACATTAACAAAGGAATTCTTAATTCCAGGCAGATATGACCCTGCTTAGCTTTCTTCAAGGTCAATTAGGTGCTGCCACCTAGTGTGATATCCTGTTGTTACAAGGACATTTGATCCTTATACTGTATGATGTTGACTTCCCTTCAACTTGGAATTTTCTGCTCACCCAAATAAGTACTAGTACCTTGCTCCCTGTTTAGCTGCTTTTTTTTTTTTTTTGAGATCACCCAGGCTGGCTAGATGATGCTAATGTGCTATGATGCGTGCACATATTTTTTACATGCATGAAATATACTAATGAACAATACTGCTGTTTAATTTCATTTATTCAATTTCTGTAACTGCCCATATTATCAATGGAGCATCATGATCAGAAACCTGCATCTTTTGTATGCTTGTGCATTGTTGCTGCATGTGCAAAAGGAGAGGGGCTTTGATGTTGATACATACAGCCTTGCTGTGGATATTACTGCATGCTTCAAAAAGAAAATCTTGTCTTGATCTTGCCTTAGTCCATTGCAGTGTTTCTCAACCTTGGCTTTAAGATGTGTTGATATCATGGCTGGGGAATTCTGGGAGTTGAAGTCCACACATCTTCAAGTTGACAGGGTTGAGAAACACTGGTCCATTGTTATCATAGAATCAGAGTTGGAAGGGACTTTGGAAATCGTTTAGTCCAATCCCCTGTCTAAGGAAGGAGTATCACGACAGATTTAATAGCCTTGCTCTTAACAACCAAGGTAGAACTCTTAATGGGGGCTCTTTTGCATCATTCAAATCCCCAGTTTAAAAGGGTTTTAGTTAATATCTGAGGTATTTCATTATCAATACTGTAGTAAAGAACACATCCCTTCCTTCACCAGTTTTTTATTTCTAGTAATGAAAAAAATCATCTTTCTTAGCTGTAACATAGATTTGTAATGATGTCATTGGGAACTTAAATCTTGGTCTCATTTTTAGCCCAAACTGTGATGTGGAGGTCCCTGAACGGCTTTCTTCCTGCTATGGCCGCCTTCAGCACTATAACCTGATTGAAAGATGCATTTCTGTCTCTGCCAGAGAAGGAACTGAGAGTGAAATCAGGCTGATTCACAGGTACGCTCCTAGGGCAGCATCCCTCCACCTCAGGCAGTGTTGGAGAAATTATGAGGGGAAAATTCAGTGCCATGTTTCTTTTACACTTAACAGATATAATTTGTTTTCATAACATTCAAGTTAAGTCCTAAACCCCCTAGAAAAGAAATGGTCATTTGCACTGAGAAATACCCCAAATGTCCCACCCCAAATCTGGTAACAAAATAGCCTATGTTAAATGAAACAATTTTTAGTGCCCATGGCATCACGTATATACAGGTAGTCCTTCAGATACTACCATAATGAAGCCAGTCCAATTTACAGCCCTTTTTGCTGCAGTCTTTAAACAAACCAATGGTTCGCTATATGAGTGGTTTTTCCAAAAAGCAAAAGTGCTGGGTTTTGGCAAAAACCTTGAAAAATTGCTCACATGACCTTGAGATGCTGCAAACAATTGTAAATGCAGCCATGTTGCCAGACACCCAAAATTCTATCACATAAACTTTGAATTCAGATTGTAAGTCTCCTTTTCAAATTGGTCATTGCTTTAAATGATTGCTAAGTGACTGGTCTAAGTCAGTGACTACCTGCACTTATGTCATTGTACAAGTTGTACCATTTCTGTGATGGCATCATGACATGTATGACACCAGTTGCCCTGCCCAAGGACACATAGGAATAGGTCTGCAACTATCTGTAAACTATCCCCCCACCCAAAAAAGAAAGACTAGGGAGAAATTTTTCCAGTCCACACCATTGAAGGGCATTTAGCAGTTCACTGGATGGCCAAGAGATAAAATGATAAATGGAATATTGGCTCAAATGTTGCCTGTAAAATCATTGCAAAGAGAGTTTTGCAGTATTTCCGCTGGAGCTCCAGTTTCTCATTGGAAAAAACTCCTTGGAAGTGGGAAAACATAAATAACTTATTTCTTTATCTCTCAGCATCTTCATTGCCAGTGTGCATAATTACTACAGAAAGTGACAATATCACAATTGAATCAAAGTTTAAATACTGTTTATTGAATCAAAACTTGAATACATTTGTCCTTTCAATTAAATTTTTTGATCCCAGCTCAACTAATTAGAGAAAACATGACTTCCCCATTAATGTAAACAGAGAATTACTAATCTAATTAGTAACTAGGTAGTTACCAAAAAGCTAATAGTATTTTAATTCCAGAAAAAAATTCCAATATCGAATAGATTGCAGGGGAGGAATCAGGCAAAAAGCAGCAAACAAAATACCAACCTATAGATAAAGAAACTTTTACATTCCACAGTGTAAAACCTTTACATGTTTACACTCTATTTCTATATGCTTCATAAATCTCTCCAGCATAAGCACAAAGATATTCTCTTTATGTCTTGTTTTATAACCTGGAGTTGTTGGACTCTGACTGACTGGTTTTCATCGTTTTTGATGTGGATCATTACTATTTAGAAGACAATTTGAGGAGGGGCCCATTTGTTGTTGACTGATTCTTCAACATGGAAGTTTATGTCTAGAATCTTAGCATTTTTATTTGACCTTGTCTTTCACTGATCATTGTTTCAATCCACCCTAGTATGCTGTGGTGTTCCATGTGCATCTGTGTTGAGTTGGACCTTATGTACTAAGACTAAGAATTCATCATATGGGTCACTGAGCTCATTATCCTGATAACTAGAAAAGGTCATTTGCTGGGCAAGCTGCAAAGAGATAACTTCCGTTCAGAAGTGGATTCTGCTGAGACCCTAGAAGGAGTGCAGAATAGACCAACAAAATGATATGAGGTCTGGAGGCTAAACCATATGATGAACAATTGAGGGAACTAGATATGTCTGGTCTAACAATGATATGATAGCAGTATTCCAGTACTTGAAGGGCTGTCAAAGAGGGAGTCAATTTATTCTCGAAAGTACCTGAGGTCAGGACAAGAAGTAACCTGTGGAAATTCATTAAAGAGAAATCCAACCTAGAACTAAAGCAAAATTTCCTTGACAGTGAAAACAATTAGTGGAACAGCTTGCCTCTAGAAGTTGTGGGTGCTCCATCACTGGAGTTTTCAAGAAGAGATTGGACACTATTTGTCCAGAATGGTATAGGATCTCCTGCCATGGGCAAGGGGTTGAACTAGATACTAGAAGACTTCCAAGGTCCCTTCCAACCCTATTATTCTATGTTCTTCAGCTATACCTTGATTTCTGAATATTTAAATTACCCTTCCAATGAGTTTTTTCTTGGCTTTTAGGATCTCTCCCTGTTTCCCTTAGCTATGGCACCAGGCCATCTTCCCATCTCTGACTGCTCCCAGCTTTTCCACTTTCCGTAGTTTCTTAGCATCAGCACTGATGTAAATATAATTACATACTCAGATTAATCCACAAAAAATGGAAAAAGGGAATATTTGTTAGAATAGAAAGGGGAATGGTTTCAAGGCTGGCATTCATTCTCTGTCTCTTAATCTTGGGAGATTTATTGTTGCCCTGAATTGAACATAGTAAGAAATGTAGCACTAGTAAGAAATGTTCTTTTGGATTACTAAGTTCAATGCCTCCTAGACTTAGTGTTCTAAACTTTAAAAAATCCATCCCAATGGATTTGCATTTTATATGGCTGTTCCTGATAAGAGAAATGGTCCCAATATAGTTTTGGCTTAGGGGCAAAATCAATAATCAGCCCAGTTTGTATACAGTACATATTGGTTCAGCATCTGGACTGAGATCTCAGTTGGCTTTCCATAGATAGCTGTCAGTTTATCTGCAACCAGATTCCTGATTACCAGAGTAATAGAGACAACAGCATTTGAAACTGGCTCACACCCTATGTTGTCTCTATGGGTGACAGTGTGTTTCTTTTTCTTTTCCAGTATGGATTATGTGGAAATTGTGAAGAGCACTGAGAAAATGGAAGAAGAAGCGCTTCAAAAAGTCTCTGCTGAATATGATGCTGTTTACTTTCATCCAGTATGGAACATAATCAAGAATTCTTCCTAGATATAATATTCCTTAATCATAAACCTTTTTCTCCAAACCCCGCTGTCCACTCAATGTTGTGGGGCTGCTGTTCTTCAAAATTAAAGCATATTGTTCTTAACTCATGAATATTTCTAAAGGATCCAAGGACATCTTGCAGGGGATGGATCTTGCAAGGATCACATGGTTGCAGCTGTTGTTTTGACTTTTTAGTCTCCCTATGGAAGGCCTGAAAAGGATCTATTGCTTTTGCTACCACCACTAAACCCTTTCCTGATTTAGAGATGCTTTTCTTTTTTCTCTATTTCTTAAAATCTCTACCCAAAATTATGTAACTAGAGTAAGATGCTGAACACCACAGTCATTTTATTAATGTTGGAAGAAGGAACCAAATTTAGCCCTGTTAAATAACTTAAAATGGGTTTCCAATGGCCACCCTTAACTTTAAAATGTTTCTACAGGCTCACAGCTCTTACTTTCCCTGGAACTAAATATATGTTCATAAACGTATCCCCTTCTGACAGGTGGAGATTTTCTTATGGCTAAGATTCTAAGCTTCCTCCAGACCTATCCTTCCACCTCCCCAAATTTCTGTTTTCTTAGTTCTACTGCTGGGAATATAAAGTGGGAGGAGGTGACTGTTGAATGCTTCTTTGGATTACAGTTCTAATATCCAATGCCTGAATGAGTGGGGAAATTCAGTGCTGTAGAGTGCTAAGCTGTTCCCATCTCTCCAGCCTTCATTCATTCTTCTTGGAAAATGCAGTAGTAGAGTTTTTGAATCATGAACTTGTTTTGTTCTTCAGACAACATATCGTTGTGCCAAACTGGCTGTGGGAGCAACACTGCAACTGGTAGATGCTGTGATGTCAGGAAAGACCCGTAATGGCTTGGCTCTAGTAAGGTAACCAAATTGAAATATTCTCTAGGTAAATGTTCTTTGGTATAGTTTATGGTTAATTGACTCAATCATGCTTGTTTGCAGGCCTCCAGGTCATCATAGTCAAAGAAGTGCAGCCAATGGATTTTGTATCTTCAATAATGTTGCTATTGCAGCAAAATATGCTCAAAGAAAATACGGCCTGCAAAGGTGGAGTATATCTATTTAAAATCACAAATTCTTGAAGATCTTACCTTTTAATGAATGTTGTGGTTGATTCATGCAGAATCCTCATTGTTGACTGGGATGTGCATCATGGACAAGGAATTCAATACGCATTTGATGATGACCCAAGGTTTGTCAGTTACTTATTCTTGGAGATGTTGCAGCAAACCTGAGTACTGCATGAGTTTCAAAATGTTTTCATTTTGGAAATGAATTACCAATGAAGTTCAGTAGCAAACAGCAGGCCTCAAGACATTTTGATAGCTTGCACTACACAATTATGTACTGTTATTTTGGTTTTTAGGCAAATTGTATTAATTTTGCTATAACCTATATTTTATTGTCTGTTTTTATAACATGGTTGTAAAACTCCCTTCAGTGTTGAATTAAAGTGATAGATGAGGTCTAATCCAAAGATAAATAAAGATGAAAACAACTGATTACAAGTATACGTGTCATTGTCAGATACATTGGCACTCATACCAACACCCACATTTTTGCGGGAAGCTTAAGTTCAGCAGCATCTTAAAAACCATAGCTATACAAAATTAAACTCTTTGAGAACACCCTAAATTTAGGTCAGTTTACAGAAAACTAGATAGTGAAAATTCATAGATTTCAGGCTTAATTCAGCTGTTCTCTCCTGGAATAAGCACTGCTGCTTGTTTGCTTGTTTGGTGTTAGCAGCAACTTCATTAAATAGTACTTTGTTCTTGTTAGTATTCTCTATTTTTCCTGGCATCGGTTCGAACACCAGAAATTTTGGCCTTGGCTCAGTGAATCTAATTATGATGCGGTTGGTCAGGGGAAGGGAAGAGGATTCACCATAAATGTTCCTTGGAATCAGGTAAATATTGTTTAATAGCACCATAATACAAATAGATGTTAAGCTCTAGCAATCATGCATTTGATGCAGTTTTGTTTTTAATTCCATACACACACCTTGCGTACATATTTGCGTCAGCTGAGAACTCATTTTGTGATTAGAATAGATTTGTGTTCTCATATACAGCAGATGAATTATGCACAGGGAAGCATGATTTCTGATGAAATACTGTAATTTAACAAAAACTCTTCTTTTCCTATTCTACTGTTTATATAAGTTTTATTTGTAGCAAGGACTTTTACGAAAAATAACAAAGTTTTATCATTTTGGTAATTAATATTAATGAGGGCTGCATTTGGGGCAAAAAAAAGTAAAATGCAGACTTTATGTTGTCAGCTGGAACCTAGCACAAATTTTAAAATGTCCATATAATTTTCCTTCCTGGGGATTTAGAAAACTGTTTGCTGAATACAATTTAGAATTTGTTGGAGAAGCACAATGCTCTCCAGAGATGATTTCCACTAAGATATTTGTGGCCTAATAGGCCTATATATAATGGCAGTTTGGTGTTCTTTGTTTTCTGTTTTAAAATAATTGCTATTTTATATTATGCTTGGCTTTGCAGGTTGGAATGGGAAATTCAGATTATTTGGCTGCATTTCTTCATGTTTTGCTTCCAATAGCTTTTGAGGTAACTTTTGAATTCTGGACCTTTTTTCCTCCTAATTGCCGATGCTGTTTAAAAGTAGAGTACAATAATAAAATACTTTTGTGTACTATCAGAAATAATCTTCAGCTATTTAAAAGCAACAATTTCTTTTTTAAAAAATTATGCTTAGGATTATCTGCAGGAAGAAGGATCCAAAACCAAGACAGCAGCTGTACCACACTCCTGAATTTTTTGCTTCTGTTGGGAGCTCCCCAGTTTTGTTGTTTTGCTACAATTATCCTTGCATAACGAGAGCTGCTAGTTGTTTGGATTTTTTTTAAAAAAAGAGAGACTATGAGCCCCTTCACAAATGTTACAACTCCTGAATGTTGTACAATTATGTGACAGAGCCAATTCTCTGACATCTCTGTAGTGGTGTGAAAGGAATAGCTCCAGAGATGCTACAGATAGTCCTTAACTTACAACTACAACCTTTAAGCAAGGAGGTTGTTCAGTGAGTTACACCTCATTTTATGACCTGTTTTGCAAGGGCTGTTAAGTGAATCACATGATTGTTAAGCGAATACTGCTTCCCCATCGACTTCGCTTGTCAGTGGCAGGCTGGGAGCATTGCAAACAGCGATCACATGACCCCAGGATACTGCCATTGTTAATACATGCTGGTTGCCAAATTTTGATCACATGACCATGGGGATGCTGCAATGGTCATAGGGGCATAAATTACAGTGAAAAATTTTCACTAACTTCAGTCACTAAATGAATGATTGTAACTTGAGGATTACCTGTAATGAGAATGCCCTTGGTCTTCACTCTTCCCTGTCTGTTTGAGATCCATGGTTTTAAAATGAATGGAAAACCTAGCAGCTCAAACTGACTGGATTGGGACTGAACTGGGGGAAAAACAAATGAGCAAGGAATTAAGAATGACAATGTGAGGTCTGAAAGACAATTTTGGTTCTCCATATCCTACATTGGTCAACTGGAAGGAGTATCGGCATGCAAGTTCTTCCTAGCAAAAAAAAAAGCACCAATGCAGGGAACCCTTGTAGGTTTCTTTTAGTCACCATTTTTCAACTGTCTAGGGAATTCGGGGAATTCTGCAAATTTTAAAGTAGCTTGAGGTTGAGGAACACTGCTCAAAGATTTTATGAAAAGTTGGAAAGGGAATAGTAGATCAGAGATCAAATCTTGAATTAATTTAAGAAAGTAGGTGGCTGGACATGCCCTGAAAGGCTTGTTGGAGAATTGGAGAACCTGTGACCTTCCAGGTCTTGATGGACTACAACTCACAGCATTTTTATACTGTACACATTATTCTGTAATTTGAACTCTGTGTTGATTTTTTCCCCAACTGTAGTTTGATCCAGAACTTGTTTTGGTTTCTGCTGGATATGATTCTGGAATAGGCGATCCAGAGGTAAGCTCTTTTCTAGATACTGTTTCTCCTTTCTCTTTTTTCATCAAAACAGGCAATTTTTTTTAAAAAAAATATCTTTGTTTTTCTTTGTATTGTTTTTAGGGGCAGATGAAAGCAACTCCAGAATGCTTTTCCCATCTTACTCATTTTCTAATGAATTTAGCTAAAGGAAAGTTGTGTGCAGTTTTAGAGGTATGGATTTTAGTAAAATTTGATTTTCAGTTTAATGAATGCTATCAACTTTTTGAGGTAATTACTGTTCAAATTTTTCTAGGATTATGAATATTCACATATTGATGCAAATCTCAGATGCCCACTGATCTATAAATACAGGTAGTCCTTGACTTATGACATATCGCTTAGCAACCATTCGAAGTTCCAATGGACCTACCTGAGAGATACTTATAACCCGAAATTGAAGTTCCAATGGCCACCCTCCCATCCACTGTCATGTGACCTCACTTTGGGTACTTGGCAACCAGGCCATACAGGCCATTCCAGAGATCATAAAAACGTGTGAGGTTTTGAAATATTGAGATAATACTATTATTTCTTGCAGTTAAATCTTTCTTTATGAAATGAGTTTTTCTTATTTTTGGGTACTTTTTTTCCTAATATTTTTTATTTATTTCCAAAGTTAAAATACAAAATCAGAAAAAAAGGGAAAAACAACAACAATAAAGACAAACAGTGCGTCAAACAGAATATCAAACATACATATAAAATATCCCCTCTCATTGAATACTGATAAATATGTTTCAGCAATAATTATTCACCCCCCCTTGCAAAGCAGTTTATAACTTTATAAATTTATAACTTTACCTCTATATTTGCAAAATTACTATACAGTATAACTTTAAAAATATCACAAGTATAAAAATCTGTTAATCAATCAATTTGACCTACCATCTATCTATTATATATAAAAAAGCAATTAACAGGTAATTCTGACAACAAAACTAAACTTTAAAGCTCTCTGTTAACAATCTGTTATTGTTTTTAACTCACAGAAAGTCCACAAGCATCTTCTAATCTCCCATAAATGCATACAACCATTGTCTCTGAACCTTCCAGGATCAAATACCATAGACTAATTTTTAATAGGAAAACAATTCCTTCCAGTTTATCATCTTTACCCAGGACACTGCAAACAAATACTGCATCCAATTTTGGTTACCACGATGTAGAAAACATGTTGAGACTCTAGAAAGAGTATGAAGAAGAGCAACAAAAATGATTAGGGGACTGGAGGCTAAAACATATAAGGAATGGTTGCTGGAATTGGGTATGTCTAGTTTAATGAAGAGAAGGACTAAGGGTGACATGATAGCAGTGTTCCAATATCTCAGGGGTTACCACAAAGAAGAGGGAGTCAAGCTATTTTCCAAAGCACCTGAAGGCAGGACAAGAAATTATGGATGGAAACTAACCAAAGAGAAAAGCAACCTAGAATTAAGGAGAAATTTCCTGACAGTTAGAACAATTAATCAGTGGAACAATCTGCCTCCAGCAGCTGTGAATGCTCCAACACTGGAAGTCTTTAAGAAGAGACTGGACAGCCATTTGTCTGAAATGTTATAGGGTTTCCTGCCTGAGCAGGGAGTTGGACTAGATGACCTCCGAGGTCCCTTCCAACTTTTTTTTATTATTATTATTATTATTATTATTATTATTATTATTATTATTATTATTATTATTATTATTATTATTATTATTATTTACTTTTCTTTAAAATTGTAAATGGGACCTTTCCAAACAATTGCTTCTCACTCCTCAAAAATGTAAGTCTTTATTGAAAATATTTCCATAACACTTGTTGTTCAGTAAATTTTCCAACAAATTGGAATGCAATGTCTCTTGGCAGTTGTCTTGTGTTGCATGTAGTAATAGGTAATATTCAAAATCCTTAATTTATTGTTACTTTGATTTTAATATAGTCCAGATCTCTCATAGACAAGCTTTCACAGCAGGGTGCAAAGTTTCTTTCTCAGGACAAAGAAAGTAAATATTCCATAGCGAAGTAACCATAGAAGAAGCCAAAATAAGAATTCCCACATTTTATTTTTTGGATATGTCCTTGGATTTTTTAATCTTAAAAAGATGGGAACTTTCCCCCCTTTTTTCTTTTTCATTTATTCTCTGCTAGATTAAGATTAAAAAATCCAAGGACATATCCAAAAAATAAAATGTTCTTTTAAAAAAACTGGTAAAATACAATATCTGATATAAATCAAATCAAGTCACTTTCACTATGAAGAGGAAAACCGTCACACTGCTGACTTCCTTGTAGTGAGAGAGAAAGTATTTTAAAATTCCAAAGTATAATGAAGAAAGTTCACATTTGTAAACCAACAAGGGAGTGTAAAGCACATCAGCATTCAGCCAGGCTGTTAACAATTAAACTTCAAAGCTTCAAAAAGTGATATTAAAAACAGGCACATTTAAAAAAATACAGCGATGGGAAAAGATGGAGACCCTATTATCCTCTGTCTGCTCTTAACTGGACTGGAATTTCTGTCGATAAGCAATGGCAGTCATAAAACAAGTTGTCACATGACTCTACTGCTTAGCAATTGCAGTTCTGGTACTTCTGGTTGCTATTGTTAAATAAATCCTGTGCCATTCTTAAGCCCAATGTTATGTGGTTGCCATTTGCAACCTGCTGCCAGCTTCCCCATTGACTTTGTAGAAAGCCAGCAGTGAAGATTGCAAATTGTGATCATATAACTGCAGGACGCTGTAACATCATAATTGCAAGCTGATCGCTAATTTCCTGAATCATGATCATGTGACTGCATGTCCCAAAGGTGCTTTTTCAAGAGGCAACTGGACTTTCTTGTTTTTCTTTGACGACATTTTGCTTCTCATCCAAGAAGCTTCTTTAGCTCTGACTGGATGGTGGGGAATGAAAGGATTTATATTTTATAAATCCTTCCATTCCCCACCATCCAGTCAGAGCTGAAGAAGCTTCCTGGATGAGAAGCGAAAGTCTTCAAAGAAAATGAAGAAAGTCCAGTTGCCTCTTTGGGACAACCATGACCTGGATGACTGAGAATCTCCATAGACATGTGACTGCATGGATGCTATGACAGCTGGAACATTGAACACTGGTTGTAAGTATCATTTGTTGTGTGCCATCATTAATTTGAACGATCACTGAACAAGTGGTCCTTAAGTGAAGACCACCAGTATTTTCAATAGGTGATTGCATAGGTGCTTGGAGACCAGCCTACGCTGGTGCCTTATGTGTACCACTTGTTTTATTTTCTAATAATTCAATATCTGGATGTTGTTGTTTGCTTAATCTTTGCTTAGAATTTCATATGCTCCTTTATATTTTACAACCATTTGTTTTTTTTTTATTTAGGGTGGATATCACTTAAGGTCACTATCTGAATCAGTCTGCATGACTCTAAAAGCTTTGTTTGGAGATCCTTTGCCTCCTTTGTCTGGTGAAATGATGCCTTGTTTAAGGTACATGTATGACTATGTCCATGTGTAATAATAACCATGTAATAACCAGAAAGACATATCTGTATTGACAAGTCATTATAGAGACAAAAGGCCAGTTCTAAATAAGACTGTGGGTGGGACAGTCTTACACTATTATTTCCATTAAGGGGTTAGCAAAAAAGCCAAAATGGTGGTCATGCAATTGAAACCACTATCTGAACTTTTTTGTATTCCTTTTGGGCATGTCTGTACAAAGGATTTAGCTATTTAGATCTTTTGAGTCAGGCAACAGTGCAAACACCAGCATGTACCTAGGACAGGGGTCTTCAAACTTGGCCTTTTTATGGCTTGTGGACTTCAACTCCCAGAATTCCTCAGCCAGCGTGCCTGGCTGAGGAATTCTGGGAGTTGAAGTCCACAAGCCATAAAAGGGCCAAGTTTGAAGACCCCTGACCTAGGTATTTACTGGTCTACGCAAGCTTTGCAGTTAAATGCAGCTTCTAACAGTTTTATGTATTCTGATTGGTAGGAGACAAACATATAAAGATTTTACAGAGGAAAGATTGGATGTACATTTGGTATGTACCTGTTCTTTTGGTGTTAGGCCTACATACCACATTGCACTGTTCCATCATAAAGCCATTGCTCAGTGAGGAAATAAATTCTTAATCTGTTCTCCTTAATTGTAAGAAAACAATGGTGTACAATTATGACATGGAGAGGTTATAATCTTTTTAATTTGAAGGTTTCATATGATACCCATATCCTTAGACCAGTGTTTCTTAATCTTAGCAGCTTGAAGATGTGTAGGCTTCAATTTTCAGAATTCCCCAACCAGCATGCTTTAAACTTTGGGTGACAAAGACAGAAACTTATATAAAACCCAACTGTTACTCTAAAGAATGGGAACTTCTAGTGACCTTCACTCTCTCTCTCTTGATAAACGGCATAAAATGTAGGCAGTATTTGATGAGACCTCTGAAACTGGTGCAGGAGGCATCGACCCACAAGGGATTTAATTGTGCAGTGGATTACACCTCACTGTTTGGAGGTTATAGGTAATTTAAAAAAGTAAAGATTTCCCTGTCCAGCCGTGTCCGACTCTAGGGTGCAGTGCTGATCTCTGCTTCTTGGCTGAGGGAGCTAGCATTGTCCAAAGACATTTTCCATGGTCCAAAAGCGCACAGAACACTGTTACCTTCCACTGTTGCCGAATATTTGCATTTCCATGCTTTTGAACTGCTAGTTGGGCAGGAGGTGGGGCAGGAATTAAACCATAAGTGTAGAATTACCATTCTTCTATTCCAATACTTCAAGTGCCTCTGTAGGTTTGCTTAATTACCTACAAATATGCCAGTCTATACATCCAAAAGAATCCCCAGTGCTTATATGAAACAAATAATTTTTTCAACACTATAGGTAGATATGAGCTCTTTTTTTGAAATGTCTATATATTAGAAAACCACAGGAATTACAAAGAATGGTAGAAAAATTCCATATACCGCCAGATGGGATATTGAATATTGATATACCTAGGTTATTATGCTTTAATAATTTTATTTCATACAAGTTTATTTTAGATACCCTGGCCTCAAGTTTTTTGTGGCATATAACCAGGGCTTTTTTTCTCGGAGAAAAGGTGGCGGAACTCAAACCTGGCCACGCCCTCATCAAACCCTAGGACCGCCCCTTTAGAGAACAGGAATGCAAGTAAAATTTGGGAGGGGCTATTTCCGGTGTGGGAGGGGCTATTTCCGGTGCGGCCGGCCCGGAAAAAGGTGCCGGAACGCGGTTCCGCCGCGTTCC